CTATGCTAATTATTTCCCATCTGCCTTTCTGCTGTTATCTCGGGACGCTTGTACCGAGAAAAATGGCGTTCGTCAGGTCCAGTTTTGTGCCCAGCCTCTCACGGGGATTTCGGATGCCCCAACGCCTGTGATGAGACGTCTCAACGCCTGTGAAGAGACGACTCAACGCCTGCAATATGTTATGGCGCCGTTCTATTCATAAACAATATTTATATTTAATATTTATATTTAAACAATAAGAATGTAAGCCAGAGGAGAACTGGCCCCCGACTGAGCCTGGGTTCTCCCAAGGTTTTTTCTCCATCCAATCTGATGGAGTTTTGGTTCCTTGCCACTGTCGCCTTGCTTTTGGCTTGCTTTGGGCTTGCTCAGTTGGGATTATTTAGTGTTTAGCAATGTTGTTGATCCTGTGTTGTGCTACTTTCATGTTATCAGTGTGAAGCTGCTTTGATACAATCTGTATTGTGAAAAGCGCTATATAAATAAATGTGACTTGACTTGACTATGTTACATGGTGTGTTTCCCTTTGACTGTCAGTCTGTACCTGAGTTTTGATTATACAAGTAAATATTTGAATTAGAGTCTTTGTGTCAGCCTCTCCTTCATCCTGCACCATAACCCGGGCCATGACAGTCATTTTACAGAATATAATACAGCTGAGGGTCCATCTACATCCACACAGAATCTTAGCAGTGTAAGAAATGTTCTGCAGTTCTCCTTCCTCATTTAAATATTCAAATTAATTATTCTGTCTTTCTAAGTTGCCTGCTAAAGAGTTGTATAAGGTCCACCTTCAATAGCAAATCAGAAAAAGTGACATGGAGATGGACCTTATACAGCTTCAAATGGAGGAGAAAAGGCTGAACCTAAAAAAGGCCAGACTTGAAATTGAATTGCTGGAGCACCAGCTTAAGGTGGGAAACAGAATATGAATATTAATCTGTCATTTGTTGTTGAATGAAATCTAAAGCAATAAATACAAATGTCTTTTGTTACAGGAAATAAAGAAACAATGAACAACACTTGACTGTTAATTGGTTTTAATTAAAGTGAGTTTGGCAAATCATGTTCACGGGTGTGTGTGTGTGTGTGTATATATATATATATATATATATATATATATATATATTAGGGGTGGGCCGTTATCGGCGTTAACGTGCTGCGTTAACGTGAGACTCTTGTCGGGCGATTAAAAAAAATATTGCCGTTAATCTATTCCCACAAACCAATATATTGAAACGTCTGTTTATCCAGACATTAGGAACATATCAGAGATGCATTTTATATTTAATATGAGAGAAATACACATCCGTAAAAGGGGTCGCACACCGAACGAGAAGCGCAGCACCGTGCCACGTCTAGGGGGCTGTTTACACCTGGCCACTTCATGCGTTTTCTCAGATCGGATAGCTATCTGATTTATCAAAACGATTCAATTTACACCTGGTCACATACATGTGTTTTTGCAAAAAGGATATAAATCCGATCTTCAATTCCCCCACGCTATATGTGGATTCATGAAGTGCACGTCACCGAAAGCAACGATAGCTTATGAGCTGCATTTTGATCATCGGCTAATTTCAAAATCAGCAAAGACAGCAATAAGAGAGAGCGGCAACCTGGTAAGATCATTTAGATTCATTACTTTTAATGAAGATGGTAGTGTTAAGTGTCTGCGACTTACTTTTTGCGATAGATTGTGGCATGCTGGCTTAATAGGCGCTCAGCTGCTCGTCTGAGGTGATGCGTCTCCATAGCGCCGTCATATCTGACTAAAATAACATGACATATGGCCTATAACACGCTCTCACACGTTTTTTTTTTTTTTTTTTTAGCATTTTTGGGAGTAGTAACATTTACATATGTGGTTTCAACAACCAGATGCATTTACATGTCCAGTTTCGTCTGGAGTGTGGCCAAGACTACCTTCTGATGTAGTTTGAGTGATCGGAGTTTCGGAGGGCATTTACACCTGGTCTTTTCAAGATCGGATACAGAAAATGTATGAAGTGATTTCAGAGCATCCGTTAACTGAATTAATTGAGAATCTCACCTGAAAATCCAATAACATCAGCAATTGTCATTCAAGCAGCTGATTTCTGTATTAGGCTATCCATTGTATGCATGCATTCATCAGATATTTCATCCCTCTCTATTTATTTGTATTGTAAGAAAAAGAGCTACCCGGACACTACAAAATAATTAATTTCGTGTTACATAGAAGAAAAGTAGATCAAATGGGTTTAGAATTACACAAGAAAACCTAATATGAACATTCCAGTGTTATATATGAACAATAATATGAATTATAGTGTTAAATCGTGTAATATAATATGAACATTCCTGTGTTAAATCTTGTATAAAACATATTTAGGCCTAATTACAAACTACCTGCGAGGTTATTTATTTGGGTATAGCACACGCCTTTGGTAGAATTCAAATGAGCCATTTTAATCAAGATTAATCTAGATTAATTTCAAAATCAATCTAGATTAATCTAGATTAAAAAAATTAATCTATGCCCACCTCTAATATATATATATATATATATATATATATATATATATATATATATACACACACACACACACACACACACACATATACAGACACACACAAACACACACACACACACACACATATATATAATAGTTTTTTTTTATTAATTTTATTTAATAATGATATTGTAAGTAGATCATGTAAATGACATTTGACATGATGTATTATATACAATTTCTGTACTATATGCATCAGAATAAAAAAAAAATACATATTTCCAAAAATATAATACAGTAGTCGACATTTGAAGTGGATCAAAAAAGTTCATCAAAGTTGTCCTAAGACAAGAATGTGTATTCTTCAAAATGCATGTATAACTTTAATGAAAGGTTTTGATCTACTTCAAATGTAGATTGTAAATGTAAAAAAGTCTTTGTATATTAAGCAGTAACACAGCACTGATGCTTATAAAACCCCTATCCATTCTCAATCACTTCCGCTGGGCATACTCTCCCGTCGGCTCATCTGTAGCTTCATTAATCCAGTCTGGTTTACAGCTTTTTTCAAATAATTGCGGAAGACAGAGCTAGAGAAGCAGTAGATGACTGGGTCCATAGCACTGTTTAGGTAGGTAAAGGCTATGGACATAGAAAACAACTGACTGGTGAGATTGTAACCCTCACAGTACTTATCTCCAAGCTTTTTAAAATAGAGTGCTGTCAATCCTGTTCCAATGCTAGGGAAGAAACAGAGGACAAAAACCCCAACGATTACTAGTACAGTTCGAATAGCCCTTTGTCCTCTCTTGTCCTTGTTCATCTGGCGAGAATGTAGGATACATGCAATACGCACAGAGCAGAAGACCAGAAGTATTAGAGGCACGAAGAACTCTAAAATAAACACTGCATAATGCAGGTGGATGCCTAGTGGTGTTTTCTCATAGTTACTGAAGCTCCTACAAAGAGAAACGTTATTTTCCACACTCAGAAGATTGTTGGCCAGCAGAGGGATCCTTAGAGATATCACAACGCCCCAGATGAAGCAGGCAACCCCAGCTGCTTGTTTTGTGCTTATGTGATTTATTTTGTGATGGGGATGGACCACTTTGAAGTAGCGGTCAACAGCCACGGCGGTCATGAAGGCAATGCTGGCCGAACGATTGACTGACAGCATAAATAGGTTGGCCCGACACCATGCGTCTCCAAATATCCACTTCTCGCCACGTATGAAGTTGTCAATACGGAAGGGTAGATTGACTAGAAGCAGAAAGTCAGACAAAACAAGGTTGAAGAGGAACATGACGTTGGCCCTTAAAGACTTAAGGTTTTTGCTGAAGACTAACAGTGCCAAAATATTTCCAGGTAGACCGAGTAACAGCTCAATGATGAGTAGAGAAGGAAGGACGGATGCCACCAGGTTCTGAGTTGACCTACCACAGTGATGTGCAGTGACGTTGGGTGTCATGGTAGTTCAACAGTCAGAGTTGTTGTGTAGTTTCTGTAAATACAGTTGACAGTTCAACACAATTCTGCAACAGAAATACAGTTGTACAGAATACAACATTCTGCTGTCACCTCAGAAACACGTCTCCTTCCTCCATTCTAATTGGATAAAATGATGTTACAACTAACTTGTTACAACACTCTTACTCTCTCCTAGAAGTAATAGAAAACTTGTTGCAACAATAGAGGATGTTTGCGGTGTAGAAGGAAGCGTGTGTTCCTGCTCAGTGTAAAATGCTGAAGCACTTGTTTTAGAGTAAAAACAGTTTCATAAAATAGAAGTTGGAAGTACTGTTCCATGCGCACCCACAACTTGAAATAATTCTACACCAAAGTGATCATGCAGTTTTAACCCTTTAAATGATATCCATCCATGGCATCCAGAAAAGTTGACAGATTTTTTAAAAGACAATTCATCCATTTAAGAACGGATGTTTAAACTGTCATACATGATTTTTTTAGTTTTATCCTTAAACATTATCTATATGGCACTGTCAGGTTTCCAAACCCCATTTTTTACATAGTAAATACATTTAACCTAAAATTTAAACTTAACGAAAAGTAAAATATTTGAGTTGACTTCTGAACAAATATTGTTTTGACTTACCAGAGTTCACTACAGACTAGATTTCTGATTCAGACTCCCTGAGATGTAAGCAGAGAGTGTAAATAAGGTTGTCTCAGCTCAAGTTCAGTGATCTCATTTGAGGGTAATGACCGCCCAGAGCTTGTCTTAAAGCAAGCTTCCTCTTGTATGTCATAGTGACATCAAAATAGAGTGAAGCCTAACTGATACTGATCTTTCTGTATGTAGTGTGTGGCTGCATGCTGCAGTATACACACAATGATGGCATTAAAAAACAAAAACAATCTGTCTTTAAAGAATAAATCCAAAATGGAGATCACAAGGATGAATACAGCATAGTATAATCACATAAACCAAAACAAGACTGAACACAACAGAGGAAACCTATGGGCTTAAATAGCACAGAACTAGATAATTAATTAATGGGATCAGGGTAAGTGAAGCCTAAACAGTGAAACTAAACAACTAAATATCACCCTGACTTTCTTTCTTTCTTTCTTTCTTTCTTTCTTTCTTTCTTTCTTTCTTTCTTTCTTTCTTTCTTTCTTTAAACCTGCTAAGAAAATTATGAAATGTTAAACTCTTTACTGGAACAAAACAGCTTTACTAAACCTTTACCGTATAAATCATGATTTATTACTTGCAGGAAATTGCAATCATTTGTTTCCATTGTGAAAAAAACAGATTTCATGAACTCTCCGATCCGCCCCAAACTCATGGCATTGGTTGAGCTAATGTTGCTTTGTGGGCTGGTCAAGATGATCAAACAGAGATGTTTTGCTTCAGAGCCACAGCCTTTACACCTTTTATACTCTTTGATGGTGTGGACAGTGATCACCACTAATCAGTCATTTGACATTTTTTTTATTACTAAGAGAAAAGCAAATAGAGAAAAATTTAAAAATTGTGCCATGGCAGCTTTGCTTTGTTGCTTTTCTTAGCATGAATGAGAGTTATTATTTAGCGTGATGTTTCTAGAAGAAAATAGCAGTTCAGCTTCACAGTAAGTACAGTGATACTGTGTATCTGTTACTGTGATGGTTTATTTGTGTTGTAAAAAAGTTATTAATTTAGTTAATTTATATATAGCCATTCTGGAGAAAACCGTGATGTCATCCCAGACAGCAAACTGACATTGAATCAACGTGGAAACGACGTCTCTCATGACATTGAAACAACGTTGATTTGCTCATCGAATTAACGTTGAACCAACGTCAGACGCGGCATTCTTCAAAGCTAAATGAAATCGAAAATTGGTTTGCTTTCATAACGTTGAAACAACGCGTTGATTTCAAGTTGATTTTCCGTTAGTTTTGAAAGAATGACGCGTCTGACGTTGGTTCAACGTTAATTCGATGAGCAAAACAATGTCAGATCAACGTTGTTTCGATGTCATATTTCCACGTTGATTCAATGTCAGTTTGCTATCTGGGATCATCCAGCTCAGATCATTTCTCATATAATGGTGTCAATCCAATTAGAACAACAATATAGTTGAATTTAAAATTAAAATTCCCCAACTAAGGAAGTCAAAAGCCAAAGGCGAAAAAGGCGAAAAAGGAACCAAAACTGTGGCACTATGGGGAAACTTCCCCAAAAAATTCTCCCCAAAATTGCTGAAGCCTGACTGATTTCATCTGATTTCATCTTTCATCACAATGGCTATTATTGTCGCTTGCGCGCCCGCTTTGTAACTCAGCGCCAGGTTGGATTTACTGTATATGGATTTGTCAACTCTAAACCTACTCTAAAATTCAGAGTTTGTTCAACTGGCGTTATGCAACAAGCCTCTAGAAGAATATTTACTATAATGATTATATTTATATAACTTGTATAAATATTTTTTTCCTTCCATCATGCTCTTATTAATTAAACTTAAGTAATGTTTTGTCAGTTTCGGAGGCAAACAAGGTCAGGGTTCACTGTGATAAAAATAATCAGTATAAAAACAGCAAAGGTACTAGTCATTTTCTGCCAGGATAGTTTGTAGACATTCCCTTCGCCCCAGAACACAATACAATGCAAAACCTGGGTAAAACAGTTCATTTGGCTTACAGACTTTTTAGAGTTGTTGTTTCTACTTTCTGACATCATTATTACAGAGCAGATTTTACTCTTAAAGTCAGGCTGCATGTGACATTGACATACAAGACCAACTTTCATTTTTATTTTACACTTGGTATTCTGTTATTGAGTCAGGGAAAAGGTGGTTTCTTACAATCTTACAGTTTATTTGTTGTTATGTAGCTACAGTTTGGCATTAAAATGCCTCAACTTTGTGTGGACACCTTGAATTTAGTAAAATCCTAAAAATTGTTCCTCATGATTTACCAGAGTCTCACTGAGATGTAAGCAGAGATTGAGAAAACAACTGCTCAGAAGCTTCCTCTGTCTCAAGTCATGATGCAAATAACGCAATATCCATGATGAAAGGGATTGTGAACATGCATTAAAGTCTTACCCAATCCTGACACATTCTGAGAGACCAGTTTTGACAAGTTTTCTTTCTTTCAGACATGCAATGTAAAGACTCCGTTCGGGTCTGATCAGGGGGGAATTTGCATATCATAATTAATAATTGATAATTAATAATTATTCATACAGATTTGGATCAGACTGGTCTTACATATTAATAAATCTCCCATTTAGGGATGCTTATTTAAATTTTACTTGTATGCATACATGTGCGTCTCTGCAATTAACCACAAATTAATTGTAATCAATTACACAGACCATGTTTTACAAGACAAGCAAAATTAATTAGCTCAATTAATTTATAGAGTCGTGAAAACAAATTCTGTGGCCACAAGAATTTGCCTTCCCTGCTCCATAAACAAATACCCTTCTAGGTATTTTTAGTTACAGCTAGTAGCATTTTAAATCGGCATTTCATTGACTGGTATTATGAGCAAGAAAATGATTCAAAACAGAGCTATGTTAATTGTATTTAATAAAGCAACTACTTAAACATTTACTACGTTACAATGATACATATATTTACAAACATTAAAACACAAACTAAGACGACGCAGAGCGTTTAGACAATGGATACGCGTAAGTTAAAGGAACACTCCGACTTTTTGGGACTTTAGCCTATTCACCTTACCCCCCAGAGTTAGATAAGTCCATACATACCTTTTTCATCTCCGTGCGTGCTATAAGTCTGTTTGACGCACCCACCGCTAGCCTAGCTTAGCACAAAGACTGGATGTGAATGGTTGCAGCTTTCATACTAATCCAAATGAGTGGCAAAATAACGCAAACGTTTTCCTATTTACATGTTGTGGTTTGTATAGTCACAGAATGTACAAATAACAAAGTCAAATGAGACACAGACATCTTTTAACCGTATAAAACCTGGGAACTATTCTCTGAAGGCGAAGCACTGCTACTTTGACGGAGTAATAACCGCATCACCGGAGACACGCCGTGGTGAGGAGCGGAGAGTTCGCTCAGTGTTTGGGTAACAGAGTCAGCAATTTATAAATAGTAAAAGCGTAGAGTACAGTCATGGGTTTTCGCTCTATTGTAAATAGCTGCGACTGTAAACAGGGGAGGTAATACCATGTTTCACAGAATTCCAACTAAAAACGCTGACTGGATGAAGAAATGGCTAACTTACTGACTCTGGATATTTATCCAAACACACTTAAGATTATCAAGGGACATTATGTTTGCTCGGTACATTTCAATGAGGACGACTATTTTGAAAAAATGGAATTTGCCACACGGACCATAATGTGCTGAAGGATACGGCCATCCCATCGATAGCACAGACAGGACAAGTGGATCACCTGCGGCTGAGGTAAGTGTTCCGTTATGTTTTTAGATGACCTACTGTAACAGTGCCATTAGCCAGAGCTAATGTAACATTAGTGACACTATTATATGATTATGGTATGAATATGTTTTTATCTTGATGCGGCGCGGACGCGCTTGGGGAAAAAAACGAGCGCGTTCACCGCGTTGAACTTGCACCCTGCGCGCGGCGCGCCTAGTAGCCTAAATTTGAAATAACCATGGAAATAACGAATTTGAGCGTGCAAAAGGGTACGATAGGCTGTTCAGCCTGAGTTCATTGTGCAAAAACAATTTGTGCTATTACTTTCCCCGTATTCTATCCTATAGTAATGCAATTATACTGTATATTATATACTGTTGAATACATTTGGTTCAGCTAATAAATTGCATTTAAAATATATTGATTCCTGTAATAATAATTATTTATTCATGTGATATTTATAAATCTGGGTGCGTTTTTGGTTGGAAATCAATGAAACATGGTACCTGGTCTCCCCTGTTTATTGTCACAGCTCATACAATAAAGCAAACACCCATGATAAACTATGCTTTTCTAACGTTAGTAATTGCTGACTCTGTTACCCAAACACTGAGCGAACTCTCTGCTCCTCGTCACGGTGCGTCTCAGGTGATGGTTATCACTCTGCCCAAGTAGCAGTGCTTCGCCTTCAGAATTATTTATACGGTTAAAAGATGTCTGTGTCTCATATGGCCTTGATATTTGCACACTCTGTGACTATACAAACCACAACATGTAAATAGGAAAACGTTTGCGTTATTTTGTCACTCATTTGGATTAGTATGAAAGCTGCAACCATTCACATCCAGTCTTTGTGCTAAGCTAGGCTAGCGGTGGGTGCGTCAAACAGACTTATAGCACGCACGGAGATGAAAAAGGTATGTATGGACTTATCTAACTCTGGGGGGTAAGGTGAATAGGCTAAAGTCCCAAAAAGTCGGAGTGTTCCTTTAAGTGAGTTGGAGAGAGAGAGAGAGAGTGAGATAGAGTGAGTTGTAGAGAAAGTGAGAGAGAGTGAAATACGTTCACCAAAACAGTCAGTTAACCTTTCTGAACACCACGAAAACACTTTCTTAATGCTTCTTAGAAGCTCTAAAAGAAGGTATACTTGCAGGGCATATTTGGTCTGTGTGAGTCGCGGGCTCGTTGCTCAGCCCGTTCGGGCCACGTGTCGACTGGAGGTGCTGTCCTGCGTGCGCGCATCACGTGGAGCGCGGCCGCAGCGTGTTTGCGCGGCCCTTCCCGGCGCGTGCATGGTCAGTTGCTTGCGCGTGGCTCCGTTGTTCCGTGGGGAGTCACGTGGCGTTCGTTGGCATTCAGCGCGAGTGTTTGAAAGGCTTAAAGTCTTTGAGGTGACGTTACCCGAGGAAATAGTTCGGCAAAGTCCACTTCCTTTCCTGGGAGACGAATTTGGTAGTCCATTTGAGGAGAAGACGAAACTTTTAGACGAACAAAAGCAAAGATCCATGGTTGGATCAGAGTCCCGTGAGGTTTACATGCTGAAGGAGCGCTGGAAAGTTCAGAAGAGCCTGGGCGGAGCCGGCGCGCTCCTTTTATCTCCTTGGTGAAATCCATCCCCTTCCTGTTAGCTTGAGCCAATCGGGGAGATGGAC